ATTTTAATGTTGAAAATTTACAATTAAATCTAAACTTTAAGATACGGGAGAATAAAAGTAAAAATTAGATTATATGATCCTTTGAGAGGAAAGTAAGATAACCCTCTTTTTTTCCCTTAATAATAAAATTCTGCTTATCCTCTTCCTGTTCCCTCTGAAAAAGGATGAAAATGATGTAGGTGGTATACCCCTTGCAGATAAAACAGAGCATTTGCAAGACCCCTCCATAGGTCAACTTTGCAGGAGTCCTGGTGTGGGGCTGTGGGTTAATGTGTTAGACTGCAAAGGTGTTTGAACTGCAAGGTCGGCAGTTCAAGTTCACCAGCTGCTCCTCGAAACCCTATGCAGGGTCACTATGGGTCGGAACTGACTCAATGGTGCTTAACAACAACAGCATATCACTAGGAAACAGGTCCAGTTACATAATTTGTAGGCAAAATGAAAATGTCAGGCTGCTTTTTTAAAAATGGGGGGAAAGTATCATTAAAGGTATTAAAATATACCTTCTTTTTTTTCATTCACATAACCTCTTTATAAAATATTTTATCATCTTAAAAATGTAATTGTACTAGAAGTAACAATACAAACTTGTAACAATCACTAAACACAATATTTGATCGATTATTTTATATAATACAGTAAATGTTTATAGGGTGGTGGTGTGCCGTGGAGTCGGTTCCAACTCATAGCAACCCTGTACAGGGTTTCCGAGGCTGTAAATCTTTATAGGAGCAGAAAGCCTCATCTTTCTCCTGTGGAACAGCTGGTAGTTTGGAACTGCTGACCCTGAGGTTAGCAGCCTGATTCGTAACCACTATGCTATCAGAATGCCTTAAATATTTATAAAGTGAATCTATAATAATACTTTATTAATGTGAAATGATTCATTGTAAGATTTTCATGGTCTTCTTTGCTGAAAATTCATTTACCATGTTTTTAAACTGTGTCCTTTAACAACTTCCTTTTCATTTGATGTAATTGAAAATGATGCAGTCCCTTGTTGGTAGATGTAAGATTATAAATAATTTTCAGATTATTTCAAAATTTATAAGTAAATTTTGGCTTTGAGATTTCAAATTACCTAAAGAATTCTATTAATTTCCTACTGTTATGATTCATTGGCTGTGTATCCTTTTATTTTGTAATAATTTTACTGACAATGTTTGCTGTTTGAGAACTAGCAGTAGTGCTCCTGGTGCTCAGGCAGGAAAGCTAATATTAATGTACTATGGTTTCATCTCAATTTATTAAGCCATGATTGTATAAGAAAATACTAATACATGGAATTATGCTTTATACTTACTACTTATAGATCATTCGTAACACTGAGGTAATGAATTGGGCTGCTAACCTCAAAGTCAGCTCTTCCATGGGAGAAAGATGAGGCTTTACTGCTCCCGTAAAGACTTAGAGCCTCAGAAACCATATGTAGAGTGGCTGTAAGTCGGAACTGACTCCACAGCACATCACCACCGCCACCACCATCACTTACAGATCACAGAAGAAGTCCTAGTGTCACTGTAGTTAATATGCTGGGCTGTTAACGCATCAGTTGCTCTGAGGAAGAAATGTATGACAGTCTGCTTCTATTTTATAGCCTTGGAAACTCAATGGGGTGGTTTTTCACTCTGTCCCAAAGGGTCATTCGAAGTAGATATCAACGATGGTATTGGGTTTTGTATAGAGCATAAAGATTCCTGCTCCTGTTGTTATTACATACCTTCCAGTTAGTTCTGACTCCTAGTGATCCTGTATAGGGTTTCTGAGGAGTGACTAGTGGATTTGAACCTCCATCCTTTCACTTAGCAATACAGTACGTATCCTATAATGCCATACCCAGACTTCATAGAGATCCCTAGGTGGCACCAATGCTTTGCTCTCTGACTAAGGGGTTGGCAGTTTGAAACCTCTCAGTGGTGTCCCGAAAGGAAGGCCTAGCTGTTTGCATTCCTAGCGATTACAGCCCAGACAACACTATGGAGCAATCGTACTCTCTAACACATGATTGCCAGGAGTTGAAGTTAACTTGAAGGAAATGAGTTAATTTTTAGGTTTGTGGTACATGGTCAGTGTTGCTGGGCTCTATTCAGAGACAGTATCATCTACTATATTCTTCATATCATATTTGTTAGCTATGTTTTTAAATAATCATCTGAGGTTTAGCTATTAAGGAACCTGTCCAAAATCAAACATCTAGTAAAGAGCGGAGATAGAATATGAACCTTTGTTCAGTTTATGTCCTAGATATAAATTTCTGTGATGTTCTATTGACAACATTATAAACCAGAAATGGTATGACATTGGCTCCTATGAAGCCGGGATTAAATATACCTTCCCACTTCTCCATCATTTCATTCTCCATTTCTCTGTTGTTTTTAATAATTCACTGAAATAATCAAACAGAATTCACAAACTATATTCCCAGTTATGTGGCATATTAGGAAACAAAGCAAAAGTAGTAGATACAAAATGGGCATAACTCACATTCAATATCAGGAAATTCAACATACAACTAAGAAGAGGAGGTATAGGAGGTCCCAAAGAAATCAGCAAGTCTCTTCATTAGTCAACCACAGGCTTTAGATAAGCTCCCAGCTGGACCAGATCTCTCAGAGTGAATTTCTGCAGCTCTCTCTTTCAGGACAGCTCTACCCTTCACTTTTCCAGGGTTTTTATAGGCCAGCTCATACCTTCCTTGTCAATTATAAAGCTTGCTTCTGAACTAATTCAGAGACACTGGGGGGAAGGGAATAGCCAATCATATAAAAGTCAAATACAGGGTGGGTTACCCCAGCCAATCTCTTAGGGGGTTGTAAACCCAACAATCCTTGCATGTTGTTTATTCACATATCAAACTGGGCAATCATTATGAGTCCTGTTGTGGCTAATGCACTTTGTGCTAATGCACTAGACCACAAGGTCAGTTTGAACTGCAAGGTCAGTGGTTCGGATTCACCAGTTGCTCCTCGGAAATCCTATACATGGTCGCTATGGTTTGGAACCAACTCGATGGCAATTGACAACAACAAAAAGGCAGATTGCAGCCTAACCAATTATTTTAGAAGAATTGCAAACTTAGGGCCAAAATGGCCATATGAAACTTAGGGCACCGCAGATGTGAATCACATCATTTACAGTGTGCACGGTTAGTCTTAGATTTGGCTACCATGTATTATTTTCTACTTTTGATCATCTTTTCTGTACGACTTGTGCACAGTCTTCAGTAACCATCATAATTTCTACAGAAGACTCACAAGCAACTGCAAACTGGTCAATTGGATAACTTGATATATTAGAGCTGGTCCCAAAACCTTTCAGTCTGTAAGATAACCTCTGGGGACCTTATGCATTCAGGGCAAGTGAATATGGCACTAATTCCTCACTTAAATCAGAATGAGGCTAATATCGTTGCAAGGTGTTCTGTCAGTGTGACTTCACCCTCCCTCCCACAGTGCTCTAGTACTCAATGCACTCTTCTTCTGAGGTTCTTCAGTTGCCCTGAATTCTTCTTTTCTTCTCCCAAGAGTTGTGGAGCGAGTTTAATGATTTTTATCAAATGCTGTTTTTCACATGGTTTTTCAGTATCTCTTTTTTTTTTAGCCACTACTAATCTGTCAGTTTGTTGTACTGCTGTAACTTGGATGCTGATATAATACAGGAAGTCACGCCACCAGTATTTTCAATACCAGCAGAGCCATTTATGGTGGATGGGTTTGAGCAGAGCTTATAGGCTAAGACTGGGAAGATAGAGAGGCTGGTTACTTCTGAAGGTTTGCCCACTAGAAAACCTTATGAACAGAAGCAGAACATTATCAGATATAGTGCCGGAAAACAAGGCCCTTTAGGTTAGGAAGGAACTGAAAATATCACTGGGAAAGAGCTGCCTCCTCAAAGTTGAGTTGGCCATAATGATGTGAACAGAGCATAGCTTTCAGGAACTTGATTTACTGATGGGGAACAATTCAAAAGGAGGAAAGAGCTGCAACTATCCACTAATAATCAGAACATGGAATGTATGAAGTATGAATCTAGGAAAAATGGAAGCTGTCAAAAATGAAATAGTGTAACTAAAAATTTATATCTTAGGCATTAGTGAACTAAGATGGACTGATATTAGCCATTCCAATGATTTTATAAATTAATTTAATACAAGAGAAGATGCTCAGTGATTTATCTGAA